TCAACTTTTTCATACATGTTAGGACAATTTTGTTTGCATCCAACTATTCTCATATTTACTAATTTTGGATTTGATTATGACTTTTTGTATGAATATATGACTCAAATCAAGTGGAATTTGGAACCATATTATAATTCTAACAAACAATGACTTGACAATAATATTCTCTATACAATCAATCATTTTAAATAGAATTTAATTTGAACATCTAACACGGTTTGTTTCTAACGGCCGCTCAAAAAACATTCTTAAATACCTTGTAAAGTTTTAAATATCATAATACTCGTATTAGAGTATAGTTAAATCACGATTTGAGCCAAATTTTTTTTTAATTTAATCCATATTGAGAGTAAAATGCTCTTTGCAAACCTAGCGCTTAAATCCAAAACCTCTATTAAGAATAAAGTTCTTACTGTTATACGATTGATGATTAATTAATCCATTGTTTTCAACTAGTCCAATAGATTCACTTCTTAAAAAACTAGTCATTTCCAGAAAATTAAAAGTATTTTACTATTTTACCCTTAATTAAATGTCTTCGACAAAATAAGTTACTCTTTAATGGTATAAAACTCCATATATTAAAATAAGGGTAATTTAGAAGAAAAGTATTAATTCTTGATTTTGAAAACACTACTTAAAACAAAAATAAAACACCACTAATTTTGAAATATATGAAGTACTTATTTGGCTCTTGTTAAAATTGATGAAGCACTTAGCAAGTTACAAACATCATGCATTTATTATTTGTTGTTGTGCATATAAAAGGTGGATTTAGAATTTTAATTCGATTTTAACCTTTAAATTTTTAACATTGAGTTCCCTGAAGTTGAAACTATTGAGTTCGAATAAATGCATTATCCGCACCCCTCGTACAAGCTTGATCAATCTTATTAATATCGAATTACTTTAAACTATTCCATAACTTAAAATTAACTTAACATCCTGATAATTGACTGATAAAATAATTACTTGTAGTGATTTGACCGTTAAAATTCGAAGTAGATATATAATGTTAAAGACAACTCCAACAGTACAACAAGTTCGATTTTTACTACGAAAGTGGAAAAAAATCACTTAATTTTAATCTGTCCTTATGTGAATAATTATGAATGATTAGCCGCTCTTAATTAAGAAAAAAAATATTAATTCTATAATTTGATTTTTAAAAAACAAAAATGATCAAATGAAACAAAGAGGAGACGGCTTTGTTTGTTTGATACGGTGTTAAGGAATGTTTGGAGTTTGTAGGTAATTAAGCAATAATCCAATAAGCTTAATCCGGCTAATTAAGTACACTAATTACTCTAATTCCTAGTAATCTCAGACAATTTTACTTCCCAAATTACTGCTACTTCACCCTCGTACTTACTTGATCATTTAATTTGTTCTTGTTCATGTTCCTGTTTCCTAGATTGTAACACTCATTTATGTAATATAATATGTGACACAGTTCGAATCGATACAAATAAATTAAAAAAGAAATTAAAGATGTTGAATGTATTCTTATTTTGGTGTGCAAAACAAGTGTCATATGCATATATCATAACTCATGATCATAACATCTAAATTCTAACTAATATATATATTTTATCTTTATCTTTATAGGTTGAAATATTGTTTTTAAATAGACCTTCAACTTAAAAGAAATGTAATCGAAGCAGAATTATAAGAAAAATATAACAACCAAATAACACAATATAAAGCACATGATAACACAACAAGTAATACAACACATAAAATAATAAGAGAACCTTACTCTTTTATATAACGTGAGACAACACTCGCTTTCTGCTACTAACCTTTTATATCATCGATTTGATTATCTCTTGTCTACTCACTTTTTCTTTTTAAAAAAATTCGCCTATTTTACCTCTCCTAACTAACTACTATTAATTATAACCAACTTTTCACACTTCTGAACTGCGTTTATAAAGTTTAAAGGATACCAAGTTACTTATTTTTGAATAACATATAGGAGTATGAATTAAATTCAACTTTTCTCCATTTGAAAAAAAAAAAAAAAAAAGTACCACTAGTAAGTTTATTACACGTTGCACCATTGGCTGAAGCTAGATACTCTTAGGCCGTTTTGTTTGAATCTGTTTATTTGGATGATCAAGAATCCAATTGTACGAAATAGATAAGTTTCACAGTCCTTTTCTTTTATTCCTTTTGATCAAACTTATCATTTCATTTTATCTTTTACAAAAATAAAAAATAAAAAAATCTTGGAATGTTAAAAACGTTCATTGAAATATCTGATTCTCAAGAAAAAATATCTATATGTGAAAATATGATATTTTGTAATCTTGAAAATGAGATAGGATATCTGCTATAATATATACATGTCACAAAATTTTATGAATGATATATTATCATACTCAAACTAAAAATCGTTAACTATATTTCTTCTTGGTTATGAAAAAATATATTTTAAGCTAGACTTTTCACAATAAAAGATCAAAGATCTATAAATATCAACATATTCTACGTTATAAATATAATGTATTATAGATGTTTATTTAAGTACTCTTATGATTTCTCGAAAAAAAAAAAACTTGCAATCAGATAAGTAACTTAGGCAAATAGCTTGTAACTAAGATTCTCGAAATGCTTTGAAGAAACATCCTTGGACTTATAATCTAACAGATAATTTACAAGTAACTCAATCATTGAGAGTCGCTCTTAAAAATCTTTGCATCAACTTCCTGAAATTATCGCATAACAAGTTAAATCAATTTATTTGTACATCGGTTTAAAATAAAATCTTTACATATTCCAAAGTTAACTTTTTTACTGTAAGTTTTAAAATATTTCATATTAAAAATTTAATTTTAGAAAAAAAGAAAAGAAAAGCCACATGTAATGAAAAGATTGATTATAAGAGAAAGTTGGTGACGATTGGGGAAACAGAAACAACTAAAAATTTGTACAGATAAGTGGAAGGGAACAGAGTCACAGTAAATAAATACTAATTAAATAAATAACATTAAAAAAACCAGAACTTTTATTTAAAATTTGTCCAAAAAACGAGGTTGCCTTCCCACGTTGTTCTGTTCCTAAGCTGGTGGTTAAAACTTTTAAAATTTATTGATTAAAATAAGTTTAAAACAAGTCAAGTGGGGTAAAAGATTAAACTTTTTTCTGTTTATAAAAGGCCTCGAGTCATTAAGCGCCAAATACAGAATAACGGAAATTATTAACAAAGGAACTATATAGTTAAATTGTTTAAATCCTGTAATCGAAGTAAATATTTCAGAATACATATACATTTACATTTCAGTGTAATTAAATCGATATAATAAATTATTTGAAGTTTGAATTCAAGTCGTCTTTATTAAAGCCTATTTTATTCCAATAGGAAACTTTCTTACCTATATCACCACCAAAAGGAAAATTTTTTAAAAATATAATGAGTTACTTGCCATTTTCCTAGAGTAATAGTTCATATTTTATATATTCAATTATCTTTGTTTTGTTTTTATTAATAAGGTGGCAGTAAAAAATATCTTGTGTGATAAAAAGACATTTAGATAAAGCTTTTGTTTTTGAAAAGTTAAATAGAACTTTTCACAGTAATTTAAGAAAAATCATAACCTGAAAATGCTATAAATAATAATTCCTCTGTTACTAATTATTTGTCACCTTTTGAATTGACACATTTATTAAAAAGTAATGATTGACATAGTGAATTTATTATTTTAACCCTATTAATGATGAAATGTATGCACTAAAAAATTAAAATTTTTAAGAAGTTCTATTTTTTTCAAAGGAATTAATTGACGTTACAATAGGTAAAAAGTTTTAGTCTTTTTTTATTTGTCAAAATGGACAAAGAAAAAGAGACAACTAAAAATGAAAAAATAGACAAATAATTAAAGAACAAAGGGAGTAGTACATAATATTACAACATATTAATTTTCCGTAGAGTATTTACATATTTTTTATTTTTCATTCGATATTTGGTATATCCAATCTAGATTCACTCAGTATAAAACTTATCAAGCACTCTCTAACAAGTATTTTTTCATATTCAAATCTCGTAAATAAGATTTCTAAAAATAAAAGAAAAACAACTTCATCAACTGGACCATCACGTCAATTGACAGTGAGCACCTAATACAAATAAATTAATGTTAATATGTGTGGTTAAATTTACTTTTAGTCAAAGATAGACTGACGTGGTAGTACTTAAACCATTTGACTGACTAAATTAACGGAACCGTCCGGTCCGGTATCACGTGACCCGAATCACAGTTTTCAAGGCTCACAAGTTTCCGCCCATTGCTACTCACCCTAACTTATCTACACCGTTAATTCACGCCGTTACTGGGTCCATAATCCACGTGTTGCCATCACCTTCCACCAAAAATGCGGCGGCTCGTAAAATATCTCAACCTCACTCGCCGGTACCTTACACCTCCGTTAGAACCCCACCATTAATCACATTTTTACTGTTTAATTAGTCTTAATTAATCTTGATTAATTATTTGGGTCTTTTCTTTTTTTTTTAACTGTTTCGACTAGAAGATCCTATATATAATAGGATTTCCAGTTGTTTCGGTCTCCACTCTCCACTCTAACTCTTCATCCTATACACTCAGTTCAATATTGTACTCTGTTTTCATTTTTTTCTCTGAAAATTTCACAGAATACTAATTTCTTCAGAAATTTTACTTCTTATAGCAAAGTGAGCAATTCTCCAAAACTGATTCTTTTTTTTTTTTTGCTCCTTTTATACGGTTCTGTCTGTCTCTGTTTTCTTCTGAAACTTTTTTTCTGTGTATTTTCTGCTTCTGGTGTTGCAGAACTGACGTAACCCATATTTTTTTTTGATATTCTTATCTTTGAAAAAAGATTTTGAAGCTCTTAATCTTCTTTTTTTCTGCTACTTTTTTGGGTTTAAAAGGGGTGGTTTCCAACACAATCAGTTCTTGAAGATTTTTGTTTTTTCACTTTTTCATACTAAAAACTGTTACAAAAGCTTGTGCCTTAAAGACCCTCTTCTCTCTTTAGTCGTCTTTGTTCGAAGAATCTTTTTCCCCTTTCTTACTTCACGCCCTCTCTCACACTTTCGCTTTCAATGCGAATCTGAGAAAATCACATAAAAATGGACCAACAAACCATGTTGTCTAGTGGGGTTAAGTATACTGAACACAGAAAGCAAATCACTATGGTTAGAGCATCAGCTCCGGCGAGTTTTACTGGTCGGAGGAGAGGCTCTAAGATGAATGCTGCCGGTCCTAGAGTTGTACGGATTACTGTCACTGATGCTGATGCTACTGACTCTTCAAGTGATGAAGGGGAACAGAGGTTTTATGGCCGTCAAAGAGTGAGAAAATTTGTAAATGAAGTTCGAATAGAGCAGAGCAGCAACTGTAATGGAAGTGTAAATGGGGTTTTGAGAAATGGGTCGTCGTCGGAAACTGCTCCCGTTGTCGCTGCACCACCAAAAAGGCGGAAGAAGAACGCCGGAGCAACGACGGCGGCGAGTAAGCTAAAAGTGAACAATGTTAAAAAGTTTCGCGGCGTACGGCAACGGCCTTGGGGTAAATGGGCGGCAGAAATCAGAGATCCACTGAGACGTGTACGGTTATGGTTAGGCACTTACGATACTGCTGAAGAAGCTGCCATGGTTTATGACCACGCGGCTATTCAGCTACGTGGACCTGACGCGCTCACAAACTTCGCCACTCCTCCGGCGACGAAAACCAGCTGCTCCGGCTACAACTCCGGTGAAGAATCCCACAACGATCAACGCTCGCCGAAGTCCGTTCTCCGGTGTGCTTCAACTTCATTTGATGAATCTCAGAATAACGAAGAAGCTGAAGCTGAGTCATTATCGATTTTACCCTCCGATATCAGGGACAAAAATGGCATTTCCATGTCGGAAAACTTCTGCGATTTTCCACCGTTTGAGAGTTTCATCCCCGACGATTTGTTTCAGTTCGAGAACCCGGTTACCATATCCGACTTGTTTGAACCGATTACTTTACCCGACTGCAATAACATGTTATTCGGGTCAAGTACTACTGATTTCGGTTTCGGATCTTCATCTTGGCCCGAAGAAGATTTCTTTCAGGATTTCGGAGATGTATTCGGGTCTGATCCGCTTGTGGCTCTTTGATTTCATCGGCAGTTTAATCGGCGATAGTATAAATGGTTTAAGATTCGTATTTTAAAATTTAATCTTGTGTTTAGTTTATTAGTTTTGTTTAAATTTGTTGATTAATGTGAGTGATTAGCGAGTAATTAGTAGTATTAATATGTAACAGCTCCGTCACATTAACGGTGATGAAGATGGATGAGATTTTGCGGTACAGTGTTGTTTTTGTGTTTTGTGCTTCTACTACTATTTCGTTAATAACAATAAACAATTTTAGCAATTGTTAATTATTCACTAATTATTCTTTTAATTGCAAATTAATTATTTTTGTTTTTATTTTTATTTTGGAGGGGGTGGGGGGGATGGGGTCTGATAAAGGCACGTGTACGGACACGTGACTTTAGTAGCAACAAGAATTAGGTGAAAGAATGAAATGGCATGAATGTTTTTAGCCTGCATTCACTCATGCTTAACCTGAACACATTCTCAATGCTTCAAATTTTAGTATTGGTTTCATTCGGCATTTGATATTTGTATTGAACATTTGAAGTTTTGACTAATTTGAACATGTATTGAACTCGAAATTTCTAATGAAGAGTCACAAAGACTATATAATTAATCTTCACAACTCTAATGTATTTGATGATTACATATACTTATCTTAGAGTTTGACATAATAGTACAAACCTTTTTTTATATGTATATAATAAGTTCAACTCATCACTATATATTTTATTCTAATTCAAATTCAAAATGCCTTTATGTAAAAATGCTCACACAAAGAATTAAATGTATGAACTTTTTACCTAACTAGTTGTGCTCCAAGATTAGTTGAATGGGAAAGACGTATATTTTTTTACCAATAAATGTAGGATGAAACTTTTGGTACCACAAACCATAGAATAGACGACAGTATAAGAGTTTTGGTTTTGGTTTTTCCACGTTGCATTTCAAGATTCACAAAGCATTTGTACTTATGACTTTCTATTCATTATTAACCAACTAATACACCTTTTTGTCCGTGATTAAGTTTGGGATAAATTTAAAAGATTGAGTTTATCGAGTTTAAGTATTTAGTTGGCAAAGTCGTGAGTAGAAGGGTTCAGTTGATATTCCGAGCCAAGCGCAAGAACCTTCTAAGTCATTCTATCTAAAATTTACTCTTGTAATCAGTTAACGGTACAAATTTATTTTAAGATATTTCGAAGTAAATTTATACCTTCAATCAAACACAATACAAATTTTTCTTCTAAATTTAATTTTTAAATATCTCAACTTATCTCACGTACTGAAATATTCTCGGGGAATTGTTAGCGGGATTATAACTCTACACTTGAGAATGAAAGATGGATTTGCAACTATACTACTATTGTAGTTTCTTTGTCTACATTCTTTATATTTGTTTATATTTTTATGGTTTTATTAAATGATCTTTTTAGTTCAATTATACAATAATTTAGTATAGCGTTTAATTAATCATGTAAAGCAAATATCAAGAAAGCGGGACAAATAGGTCACATGTGTACATTAGAATTATTAATTGTAATATAGCCTTTTAACATAATGTTTGTAGATATATAAATACCAGTCCACACAAATTAAAACGGCATGTATGAGTTGTAAAAGGACTTAACTAACTAAATGCCACACAACAGTACAATTATTTTATTAGTGAGTCTTTAGTTGATCGCACGGATTAACTGATTAAAAATAATTGATAAACATTTGAAATTAAACACAATAAATGTCAAAATTAATACTTAGAAGTATTTGTTTACATAAAAAGGGACGATTAACAAAGACAATTAAATTGCAAAATGTTACGTTAAACAAAAAAATCTTATAATAACTTGTAAAATTACAAGTTGGGATTGACCAACTTATGACTTTTGTCTGAGTTTAGCTTATGATTTTTTTTAGTTTATCTAGTATGTTACTCATTTGACTAGTTTGCCTTGTTTTAGTTTAGTAAATACTCTTGTTAGTTTTGACCAACTTATAAATTAAAATCTTTATCTTCATTTAGTAAAGTATTCTTGCTAGTTTTGACCAACTTATAAGCTTACCTCGTTGTCCTAGTTTAGTAGTTGATTTTCTTATATTGTCACTACATTAATTTCTCTTCTAATTTTACACCTATAAGTAACATCTTCTAATGAATGAAGGAATAATTTGTTGAAAAATGAATTGTGATTTTTGATATGAAATGTGGTCAGTAAGACAGAAATTCAGTTAGAGAAACACAAAATAATATTGTTGGAATTATAGGAAAATGAGGCAATAATTGTATAGGTTGACAACATGTTTGTTTGGGACAGAAGAGATTTCCATTTTATCCTCCAAAAATATGAATTTTGTTTTCATTTTTTTCTTCAGGTGATGATTCATTGGGACCCTTTTCTCATGATTATGTCCTTTTCCTCAAATTAGCAAATTTTATACACACAAAAAAAAAGTAAACCACTATAAAAAGTTTAATTTATTTTTGTATACAAATATAAGGAGTTTAACAAATTTTCTCCAAGTAATTATAAGGAGTTTCAATTTTCATATATGTTGTTTTAAGTATAATTGTAAACTTATTTTGATCTTGGATGCGATATATGATGTATCTGATATATATGAATGTTATTAATGTGTTTAATGTAGAGTGATATAAGACATTAGGATTCAAATATAGAGGAGAGATGTAGTATAATTATTCCGTCTTCTCCTTATTCCCTGTCCCCTTTTTATTCACAATAATAGAATCACACATGATAATTCATATGACATTTATATAATTCTCATACATTAAGTTTAACAATTTTTTGTAGAAGTGAAAAAGGAGTTTTATATAAATGGTTTAAGTACTCTAGCAAGTTCATTTTGATCTTAAACACAATGTATTAATAGAAATCTGAAATACCACCACGAACGCTATTGTATGTAATATACTAAGATATATTCTTTTTAGTGCCAACATGCCATTCATACATAGAAAAAAGATATAAGATGATTATTCCATATCTTCTCCTTTTTTTCCTCTTCCCTTTCTATTCACAATAATAGAATCGCACACAAAAATCACTATGACACTTTAATAATATATAGACTATAGTCATACTCATACATTAAATAACAAATTTCCAAGAAGTCATGATCATAAAAAAGTTTCATATATATATAAATGGTTTAAGATTACTAATTAAGTTCGTTTTGATCCTAAACACAATATATTAGGCATATAAATGACCACGAATATATGTTATTATTATGTCTTCATGCAATATGGTGAGGCATCTTTATTTTTTCGTGCCAACATGCAATTCGTACATAGAGAACGAAAATAAGATGATTATTCCATCCTCTCCTTTTTCTTCGATCTCTTTTGTATTCCTTTTCCCAAAAAATCAATGAAGAAAGGAGATATATATAAGATGATTATTCCATCTTCTCCTTTTTCGCGATTCGCTTGTTATCTTTCTCGATAAAAAAAGGAGTATACGAGAATTTCAAAAAACAGTTAACTTGTTTTGTAAAATCAATATCAAACTCAACATGGTAATAAGTGGTCCTATGATGAGCTGTTATTGATTCAAAAATGACAAATTTTTGGACAATCAACTAGGCCTCTCTCTGTTGTTACACTGCAACACCCAAACAGACCCTTCTGCATCACAAAAAAAAAAAAAAAAAAAAAAATTTTTTTTACAGAATTAAAATGTATATATTGCCCACATATTATCAGACAAAATCCAAGAATAACATTAATTACAATTTTTTTGGAATATTTGTTTTATTTTTCTCTTAAATGACCAACAAATTGACAGCAAATCCAACTTTCTATAAAGAACCTAACACAACAAAATGTCCCTCTCATTTTCTCCTGATTTCTGCCTGAAGAAAATCAGCCTTTTTCTGATTATTATCTTTCTTAAATATTTTGTGAAATCTTACAAGATTTATTTTCAAAAAAATGGAGCATGTGAATGAGGGGTCCAATTCAAGTTCTTAGTAAATAGAACAATTTCAGAATTTTTAAATAAATAAATAAAAATATATAAACCAAATGTTGCATGACCAGCACGTAGGTGTTCAAAATTCTATGATCGAGTCTTTCTAGCCCCTCTGAACATCTTTTTTCTTAATATACTAAATAGAGCCTCTCTAATCGTTGAAAAGTGATGAATGTCTTCTAACAACCATCCCTAGGTACGGGTCGTAGATCATATCATTCTTAAGAAATATTAATCTACATGTATAGAAAGACGATCTCCTAGATATACAAATAAAATAGATGTTCAGATTGGGCTGATTGCAAACACTCATCTGCATTCTTAAAGGCTTAATCCTATTCCGATTCTCCTTTCAACATTAATACGTTTCTCGTTTATTTATATAGATAGAATAGATGTTCCTATCTCTTCCTGCATTAGTACGCTTCTCATTTAATGTCATCACGTCAAATTAAAATAAAGTATAGACTCAAGCGATCAACACGATGAAGAATATCGTCCAAGAAAAAGAAAAAGAGAAAAGGGGAATTGTGATATTTTTATTGGAATAAAGGGGGATATATATTTTGGTTGGTCTAGAGTGTTTATAATTTATATTTTGAAAAGAAGCAAAAAAAAGAATAGGAAGGGACCTACAGTTAGTAGTATCCTCTGAGGTTTCTAGCCTTAGCACCAATTTGCCTCTTAAAGACATCAATTTGCTGGCAAAAGTCATTTTCTTTAGAAATTCTATAGTATCTTTGTTTTGGGTCCCAGAAAATCTTGTAGAATAACAAAGTGAATTTTCCATCTTACTACTACTTGCATTGCTTCTATAATTATTATTATTACACAAATTTCCATGACCTTCATGACTACTTTATGTCTTTTGTGTCTTTCTCTTTTGATGATATTTCAATTTTGAATACTATTGTTAAAGTATTGTTTCCTTGCTAGGTCACTAAGATATATAGGCTCTCTTACCCTACATTGCTTAAAATGATTTGCTAATCATAAACTACTACAATAATATATATAGTGTAATCCCACAATAAGTGAAGCCTGTATGGAGAGAATAGTTGGATAGGCAGAGGCGGAACTAAGTGGGTTCATGAATTTGGATGAATCAGTAGTTTTTCCGTAGACCCTATATTTGTATTAGAAAATTAAATAAATAGATATGTACCCTTAACAAGTTTGATTGATGGCTTAGTGGTAAAAAAAGGGTCGTGGAAATGCTCTCAACGCTAGTGTTGGGGTTTTG